TATTTTTGGCAAAAGTTTGGTATCAAAGGGTTAAATTGGCAATTTTAAAGAACAAGATTTCTCCTAACTTTCAGATTGACCACATTGAGACCTTATGAAAAAAATATGAAAAAAAATTAATTGGAAAAAATTGATTCTATGACACAAAGTCATTATTAAGCTCTAACAGACAGTAGTGTCACCAGAGTCATCAAGTTGTCACCCGGTTGTTGCCTGAAGCAGGGTTGTCTGGAAAATCCTAATAGCGAATTGCGAACAGTTGCGAATAGTGAACAGCGAATAGTCCCGAATAGCAAATAGCGAATAGTACGAATAGTGCGAATAGTCTCAAATAGTGCGAATAATGGCAAACAGTCTCGAATAGTGGCAAACAATAGCAAATAGTGGCAAATCATAGCAAATAGGGTACCCAGTATCTCACAGTGAACCTTGCAGCTGCAACGTAGGATGAGATTTTCCCACTAAAAAGCACACACGCTTAACAGGACAAAAGGTGTTTCTAAACATAATTTCTTCTGTTTTAACCACTGCAAAAGCGTAATTACGTCTATATTAGGTTATCCTTGTGTTTTCTGTTTTCTTAATGTTGGTGATGGACAGCCCTAGCCTGAGTCTGGAGAAGAAAATAATAGTTCTCCATTTAAATTTGTACTTGGAAATGTGATTATAGTGTTTCAGGAAATATTCGCCTGTGATCCAATCAGGACCATCTGTTATTTATGTGCTCATTTAGTAATATGATACATCTTTAACAAATGGAATATTCCATATGGAGTTGTTTTCTGTCTGTCTAAGTTAGTCGTTTCTCCTTGTTTTGCATAGCTCTGATATGCTCATTGATAAGCAGACAAACACCGCATTTGGTGTAACAATTTCTCTGTTTCCAACAATAAAAGTAGCAAAATGTTGGGGGAGGGGGGGGGGGGTAGGCTCACTTACTGATGTAATTTACCACAACGTGTTCTCTCAAAATAAAACGTTCTTCTTATCTAGGAATTTACTCCCTTAAGATAAGATAAAATGCTAGTAATTGTGATGTATACATGTAACATTCTAACCTTAGGAATTATTACTACAGGAAAACTACTTTTCCACATTCGCTGAAACTGTGTTATCTAGAGAGGCTCGCTGGGTCCACTTTTTGTAGCTTCTTTGTACATTTCCTACACCTTCGCATTTTCAAGCAGGCTGGTAGTTCCTTGTGATTCATATATCTGGCATAACGTTCACCAAAAAGCTTACCAGTTCACTAAACCACGATTTTGCCTCCATGAACTTTCTTGTTGCAAAAACCATACCAGTTCGAGCATGTAAGGGACAGCTTAGTCCCTGACCCAACCCTTCAGCTCCTTAAAAATGCAAAAAAGAGAGAATTAAATTTCAATATCAGGAGTTATGACATTTTTTATTTACAATCTAAAACTGCTGTCACAGTATCGTAGACTTTGGAATGTAGACAACCCTTGGTACTCTCAGAATTAGCAGCCTTTGGGACTTGTTACCTTGAGCAGTTGTTACTTTTAGGGACCAAAAAATGTTATATTTTGGGATTTTTTAGTGGTCACAATTGTGTGACATTACTTTTGGGGGTCATTATTTTCGGAAGTTTACAGTAGTTACTCACTGAGGTTACTTGTTCAGCTATGCAGTGGCAGATCTGACAAGTCTGAACCCTCTGCAGTGTCAGTATCCCCTCTGAGACTCGCTAGGTAGAAGTGGAACAAGCGTGATGAAAAAGAGGTGGGGAGGCTCATCAGCTGCAACACAGCACAGAAGAAAAAGGAAAAATGGAAATTGATGTTTAAAACTTTGAATAATCAGTCTCCAGAGCACCTGAAAGGCCTCTTTAAACCATTCAGCACGGACTATGGACTTAGAAATTGTGAAAACAAATTGGCTCTGTCTAAGCCCCATGCCTATTTTTTGAAACGTAGTTTGTGCTACAGTGGGGCACATTTGAATAGCCTTCCATCTTACGTCAGAGCCATTAGATCTTTTATTAACTTTAGATATGAGATAAAATCGCCAACTGTCCTCCTGGTACTCCTACACGGCAAACGTGTAAATCAGTTTTGTTTTTAAAAAAATATATCTCAATCTTGTAAATGATGCTTCTACTGTGTCTAAATAAAGTGCTAATGTATATATATGTATGTATATGTATGTATGTAAGATGGTGGCAAATAGACAAAGACGGCATTGATGATTGTGTATGTCCTTTGCTGGGGAGACTCCCAAATGACAAGGGCGGGGATGGTTGTCAGAAAATTTGACGGAACAGGCTTGACTACCAGCTGCTGTTCAGGAAAGGAGCCTGTGCTAGTAGACTGAACTTGAGAGACTGGTGGAAATTGAGCCTACAAACGGAAATAAGAGGGTTTGTTTTGCTATTGTTTCGTAGAACGCACCCTTAAAGATAGCTAAAAATAAAGGCATTTTGTCACAAACAGCCTAAGTGAGACCAGAATCCTTAATTAAAAAATGGACTGTCCCATTTGAAGGACTTACAGTACCTGTACATTATGCATTGTTTGCTTTCATTGGGCCATTCCATTTTTTATCCGCGCCTTCCCCAACCCCCCACCCCTTCCCCTATCGAGGACCTAGGAAATCTGAAGGGGAAGGGGTGTCTGTAAAGGCCGTTCCTGAGGGGGTAGCTGTGGTGGCACCTTTGATCTTTTAATAAATTTTGAAGGGAGAAGTGTGTCGGCACTTTGAACTTCCTTTCTTGGGGGATAAAAAGTTTACTTTTCTGAGGAGGTAAAATTGAAAGCTCCTCAACAGGGGGGGGGGGGGTTGGGGTGGGGGTGGGGATAATAAATAGAATGGCCCATTTCAAAACACATTTCTGCGAGAGCAACCTTTTAACTCTGGGAGAATAAAAGAAAATTCCGCTTACTCTTTTGGGGAATCCGTGCTCCATCTTAATTCTTTATCGCATGGTGGATCTCGCAGAGAGCGCCGTTTTGGTGGTAAAGACGTCTCGAAGAGTAAACAGCCGTGGGTTTATTTGACTTCGCGTAGAACTCTGCGCTGCACGGCCATGAGTAGACTTGCTCCAAGTCGCACTTTGCTATAATAATCCTTCATTTATTCGTCGAGCCAGGGAAGAATTATTGGAAACGACTTTTAGAAAGTCTAGGAAGTGAGTTGAAAACGAAGACTTTCTCCCCCAAATGGCGGCCATCTTGGTTCCGCAGGTGCCACCCTGCGCCTGCATTTACATCGCTCAGCGAATTCTCCCCACTCGAAAAATACCATTTGAGCTCCTGTTAATGATCTGTCCCTTTAGTGCGAGACGATGGTGGGACCTTTTGAACATTCTGATTGTTGCTAAATTAAATGCCAATTGAGCATTTATAGGTTAGCACTGATGCGCGATATATTGTAAGACGAATGGCAAGATTCCCGTGTTTTGTTCACGTTTATGATGTTGGGCAGATTTCTTCCCTTGACTCAATATACATCTGATCTCAGTGCCTTCATACACCATTATTATCTTTCCTACGACTTCATTCGACCTTTATTCACCTTCATGTGGCCTTTTCCAGGCGTTCAGTTGGGGCATAGTTAGGTTGGGAAGCAGTGCGAAAAATGGAGAAAAATGGTGTGCCGAGAGCTTTCTCTTTCTCGCTTTCTGTCGCCGCGCTTCTCCCCTATGTTTTCGCTCGCCGTTTTTTTGCGCCTGGCTAACATGCATACACCTCGAGCGACTTTTATTTTTACCCACTTTTGACCTGATAAGTAGCAATCAAGCCACTGGGTTCGAACCAAAGCAAAGAAAGAAATTTACAATGAAAAACTAGCTCGAGGAGAGCAAAATTAAAGAAGATTAAAGACCTTATTACTCTTTAGAGCACCTTTTGATTGTTTGGTTGTCGTGTTAAATTTTTAAGTCCAGGTCTGAAGGGCTTCTTGTACTTATTTAAATTATTGATAACAGGCATGGCAGACGATATTTATTCCGTCCTCATAGCATATTTCAACTACTCGGAGCCAAACAAACCTCGACTGAATTGTGTTCTTTTCAGTTGGTTCTGAAACATGCCCCGCTCAAAGGAGGCTTTTAACAGATTATTTGGTCCCGGGACCGGTGGCGGGAAAATGAGCGCTCTTTACTTCTCTTTAGTTTACTTTCGGGTAACTATTTCGTAACAACAACTTCCTCAGTTCGTTCAAAGAAGAGCGCAAAAGAGAAGGTGTCGAAAACTTGCGTAAACAACGAAAAGTGTGCGTGCGGATGAGGTTTATTTTGTATTTCCTAGGTGTGAAGAAGTTCCATTTTGTGGACAGGGTAGTAAAGGTCTTCTTTCGGGTAAATAGACGTTGAGAAAGTATCACTGTGGCGTTCGATGAGAATGTCCAGGAAAGGGATTGTGTTGTTCTCTTCGAATTCAACGGTAATTTTGATATTTACGTGACAGTTACGGAGGTAAGGTAATGCAGTGTAGAAACTAAGTTGCTGTGTTTTTACTGTCGAACAAGGTGAAGGTATCGTCAACGTATCGAAACCAAATAGAAGGGCGAGCGTTACTTTACTTTATTACAATTCATGGCACTAAAAATAATTACTGACATGTAAACACAAAATAATCATAACATAAAAGAGTCCAGGACGTCATATATAGACAGATCACCGAATTGGTTAGAAGTACATGTTATATCTAAGTACTCAGTACTAAAAGTGTAAATAATATTGTTAAACAATATAAACCTGAATGAAACTGAATGAAGTTGGGTGGGATGGATTGCGGCGGAAGTAAAGTCTGGCAGAGGGCTTTCAAAGATGTCACTGACTGATCGGGAAGGTTGATAACTTCCTTGCCCCTAGATGTTTGCTAGAGTTTGACAGTTTTGCTTTAGCTCTGTCACATCCGCCTGCGGTAATGTGACTCCTCTAAAATCGAGGGTGGTGGTTATTTTTTTGGTGGCTCTGGCTTGATCTGCTGGGGGTGGGGATGTCCTTCTTTTTTCTGCGTCTGGTTTATTTTGTATTGGANTTTTTTTTTTTTTTTTTTTTTTTTGCTGTCGATATTTAGCTCATCAAGTGAATTTAAAACTGCCCTGTTTCGGCTTAACAGGGACCGCTGAATAAGAAAACCCAAGGCTCATTAGTACAGTGTTAAACTCAATGTGAAAATACATCACACATGCTAGCAGAAAAGTTCAGGAAAGTAAGATGAAACAATGAACATAGTCTTCGATAGTTTCATTCTCACTTGTATTTGCTAATATTGAGATGGAGACTAACACTGTACAGATCCTTTCTTGGGCTTTTTTATGTAGCGGCAACTTGGTTGAATCTCGAGAGGACTATAGACCTTTCTCACATTCTAACAAACAATGGCACCGAATCGAGGTTATGGTGGACAAAAATGCAGCAAATTTATGAAAATGTCCACCCCAGCCTTGCTCTGGTGCTATTGGACGTTCGCTCCGAAGTTGAATGCGGGAAAAGACTATTCTTTGCTATATTCTGGGATATGAGCGACCGGGATGTCATTTGTCATTTGTATAATGCGTAATAACCTCTCTGGCATTTTTCTATGCGAGTAAATTGTTATTTTCAGTTTCCATCGTTCTGAATGCGGTCATTTCTTGACCTTTATATAATATTTCGTCAGTCAAATTAGTGTCGCATGGTAACCGACGTGAAATAATTGGCTTGTATACCTGGGTTAATTGCCATATTGCTCGAGATCGGCGCACCAAGGTTAGCAGCATTTGGGAACCCTTGCACTTTGCTTGAATGAAGTTGGGCTGGTTGCATTGCAGCGGAAGTTAGGTCCGCCAGAAGGCTCTCAAAGTTGTTATTGACTGACCGGGAAGGCTGATAACTTCCTTGCCTCTGGATGTTTGTTAGAGTTTGATAGTTTTGCTTTAGCAGCTCTGCCACATCCGCCTGCGGTAATGTGACTCCTCTAAAATCGAGGGCATTGGTTATTTTCTCTTCGGCTCTGGCTTGATCCGGTGGGGGTGGGGGTGGGTGTGGGGACGTCTTTCCTTTTTCTGGCTCTGGTTTATTTTGTATTGGATGTTGCTGTTTTTTCTGCTGTCGATATTTAGCTCGTTTATTTTTAAACCAAACCTGGCGAAAGAGAAATAAGAATAGAATGTAGTTAGATATAATAAAATATAATACGCGACCTTATAAACAATCTGTTTGAAGTTTAAAAATGATTTCACATGTACATGAAATCTAAGCTCCGAGCTTCCAAAGTGATCAATGTCATCAACAGTCACCTGATTTAAACGAAACTCACAAGAACTTTGAGAATGTTAATCTTCTAAAATTGAGGGCTAGTTGTGAATGAGACTACAGTCAATCTTAAATTGATTTTTTAAAAAAATTATTATTGTTTTATTAGTCTTATGTTATTTCATGTTTTATATTTTACTGTTATACTTTTATATAATTTTATCTATTTGAGTGATATTCAATTAGTTTTTTTTTCTCAAAAAATAATTTTTTCTATATGAGCGATATTTAACTATTTTTTCCCCTCATTTTATTGTTATCTCTGTCATGTGTTTTGAACATGAACCCCTGGCTCGGACACCGACGGCAACCTCTTCCCACGAATGACATTAATAAATTGATTGATTGATGTTAAATTGATTGATGTGTTCCATTCTCGTGTCTCAAGTCGTGACGTGTAATTAATATCTAACAATGTAGAAATGACATGAGCTTCAAGTTAAGGATAAGAGAAATAAGGCAAAATTAATTATATCAAGGTTCGTTTAGGGATGAATTGTTTTATTCCCTCAAGCCTCGGAGCCAAATTAGAATTTTCAACTATATCTAACATATAAAGTATCAAAACAACCCCACCCCACCCCCCTGTAACAGATGCGCTAAAATCTCGGGAGAGTTAGGATGGAGTGAGCTGACCTGCCAAGAAACAAATAAAATTTAGGCAATACCATGGATATATTTGATATTTATACCTGCACTCGGCTCTCAGGAAGATTGATTTTATTTGCGACTTCTTCCCTCATGAACACGTCAGGATATTTTGTTTTTGCGAAGAGCTCTTCCAGAATTTCAAGCTGAGATTTCGTGAACGTTGTTCGCTCTCGGCGCTGTTTCCGTGGAGGAACTGAAAAAGAGATAAATTATTCTGCATTTAGACGCTTTCAAATCCTTTTTTGCGTATTGACACTTGAGACCTCGTCCACACTACGCCGGAGGAATTTAAAAACGCAACAATCACCGGTCATTTTGGATTTGTGTTTGAGGAAAACTCGGTCAGGGAAATCACGTGATTATCGTGACGTCATCGTTTTCGAAAAGCTCCGTTTGCAAAATGTTTCCGTCCGCACGAAAACGAAAAACCGGCGTTTTCAAATTCCTCCGGTTTGAAAACCGTTTTGGCTACGTTTTCGTGACGGACTAGTGTCGACGGAAGGTCTAACCCAGGCCTAACTCCTGGCCTAACCGGAGAAATGAAGGTGCTTTTTCAAATTTCTCCAGCGTAGTGTGAACGCTGTCTTAAACGTATTAACAGACGCGGTTCTAGGGAAGGGTTTAGGGGGATGCACCCCCCCCCCCCTCTTTGAGTAGCATTTTAAAATAATGCACATTTGGCAATTGCATTATTATTCTTGATTTCCTGCTTGATAAAAAGGAAACTCCAGATTTTATATCATGCCTTCACAAACGTTTTTCAAGTGTCAGAGTGTTTAGAGGGTAAAATCGGAAATATCTTTCGGGCGCATGGCCCCGGACCCCCTATACTAGAAGCTCTAGTCTGTAGTGCTCACCATCCACGCAGTAGCGTTGAAAAGTAAGGTGTACAAACACCCCCCCCCCCCGTCCCATTTCAGGAATTCCTGGATCCGTCCCTGATTAACTTTATCATTTACGTCTCTAGTCTATCTAGAAAGAAAATAATTAATACAAATATGTAAGGATAAAATAACATTGCGGAATCTGGACTTCTCGAACCTCTCGATTACTGAAAGCAAAAGTAGTTCAGTCAGATTTATTTTACTGTACTTTTCCACCTGATATCTCTACCTCTCATTCTCTCGAACCATTGAAAGCTCGAGAAACTTGATATCACACTTTATTTAAACAGTGACAAATGCAACGATTTAGGAAGCATGTGATGCATTTCAGCATGACTTATTAATTCCCCAACTCAGCGATAACGATTTAATTTGGTAGAAAAGTAAGGACAAACGACATGATCACATAAAAAAGGCGGGGATCACTAACACTGGCAAGCATGGAAATAGATTCACCAAATAATTTTCGAAAGAAAAAAAAAATAGAGACATGCATATGAAGGCTTATCGAAGTTTTTCAAATTCCTTTGAAATTAAACAATTCTAGTTGTAAATTTAACCGTGTTAATTATATATCATACGGTAGTCGTTTAAAAAAAATGTATAGCGAAGATATCGGTGATCTCTGTCACTCAGTGTTATTGATGCGTCAACGGGAGAACCGTAAGTTGGCTGGGGAAAAAAAGTGTTCTTTTGTTTTGACATTTAAATTACAGATTTCTTCCTTAACTAAATCTTAGTAAAACTACATGCTGCAACAAGGTCTTTGCTGAAGTGAAGGGAGGGAAACTTTCCTGTGTGTTGCATTGTGCAGTTATAAGTAAACCCTTGACAGCGCCCCTTTAACAGGCCAACACTATTGTCGGGGAGTTACCGATGTGCTTTTCTTTGGGCCAGGGGTGTGTAGCGTGCTGGTCGCGTGCCAGTCGTGTGCCAGTCGTGTGCCAGTCGTGTGCCAGTCGTGTGCCTTTCTAAGCCCTGCTCACTTTTCAGGCCAACAAGATAAGTTTTATCTGCATATTTAGGCTGGAAGGCACTTTTAATTGTGCTTATACCTTTTCTACTCACCCTCTCTTTCTTCATCTACTTTCTTGCTATTTTGTCGTTGAGAAACCGAGTCGAGGTTTTGAAAACTGAATATAAGCCGGCTTAGTTAACACAAAATTACCCCTAATTGTGACCCAATTTCATCACCTGTCCGTCGTCCCTGTTAATCCTTTCCTCCTTGCCAAAATACCAGTGGTAAATCAGTGCCTTTTGCTCCATAGTACTGTTTTCAGTAGCTAATTTTCAAAACCCTTTATCAATGGCACGTGAAATAATTAGTCAATTGAATTGATATAATTTAATTTCATCGCTAGCTCGTCGTGCTTGGCAATTCTTTCTGTTCTTCCTAAAACGGCCTGCATCGATGGCAAGTGAATTGCTGCTAATACAAATCATCATTATTTGTGCCTTCTCAATTCTCACATCCAAGCCTAAACTGGTATTTCGAGAGGCCATTGAACAAAACTAGCATTAAATTGAACAATAATGGTTCAACATCAGCTAAAACAATAAATCCCCAGTTAGAAGCTTCAGGTATATATCGTTAATTTACTGGCGCCGTGACGAATTTGCTGCATAGACTTAGAGTGTTAGCCGTTCTTCTCTTTCCCATTGCAAGCGAATAACTCTTGAAATTCTAATTTGCTTCCTGTTCACCCTGATCGATCAAGTGTTGCGAAAGGAGAGAGTCACAAGTGAACAAGAGATTGAAAATCACAAGAGATTGAAAATCAGTATTTACCTTCCATAAATGGGCTTGGCGCTAAACATTGCAGACAACTCCAGTAGGGTGAATATACTGTCCAATTGAACGCCATTACTCCAAGCTCAAAAAAGCTAGGAAGCTAGAGATCTTTGGTTGACCGAACTAGCGACAAATGCTTTTGTGCGATTTGTTACTAAAATGTACAGATGAATGCCCACCTGAGTGCGTGACCTGTCTCTACATCTCGTGACACAGCTCTCACACATCGTTGATATAGATTAACCAGCTTATAGTAGCTTATACTAATTTGGTTGGATGAGACAATGGTACAGTCGAGAGGACGCCAAAGCTCCTCGACTTTAACTCGATTATTGTAGCAATCTCTCGGAAAAATTAAGCAGTGTAGTTTAAAAATTGGTTGCTTGTCACCAACGGACTGTTTTGTTATACTGCCGGAAACGCAAAATGAAAAGTGTAACTATGGAAACAACCTGCTAAAAGGGAGAAAATGTTAACGGAAAGGAACTGAACACTCGTCAAATTTTAAGTGTTCATCTGGATTTCGGAAGGGATCACTTAAAAGAAGAAGGGATAAACGTTTGCTTCGCCACCAGGCACTGTAGTTAACACGGACATTGCGTAAATCAACTTGTGCGACATTGGCATTTTTCTGATGACTTTGTTCCGTATTAAACGATAAGCTGTTTCCTTGTTAAGGCTAAGTCTACAATTCACACTTGAATACAGTAATCTAACACGAAAGCATAAAGTTTAACTTTTAACGTTGAAACAGTGATTCACCACCTATAAACGCACACATCTGGGTGGAAAATAACATTCACTAAACAACATAAGCCCTGAGTTAAAGTGATATTTTGTGCGTGATTCATATAGCGTGTATTAACACGAGAGATGTCCGTGAAAGGAAGTTCACTTGAGAATATTTCCGTGTAAGATTAAATACAATGAGACATACCTCCATATTGAAGCACATCGGGGCTGATATAGTCCATATTGAACGAATTGAGGTTGATATAGTTCACTGAAGAAGGGGAAAGACTTCCAAACACACCATCCATTTCTTCCGCTTTCTTTTATCTTCAGCTTGGCAGAACCTGTAGTTTCAGGGAGAATGTCAGCCTTTACGGCGCCTTAGTTGGCCTAAGACCTGTTAGCGTGTGTTTGCGCTTAAGTTGAAAATAATCAATGATCACGGAGAGCTGCCTAAGTTAACCTGATATCAACTGAAAGAGTTACCCTTGGCGAGTAGTTGGCTCAAGTTTGCTTATTTTGACTGAAACACGATCGAATATATCTTATATCTCGGCTCTATATACAATCTTTAGATAAAAAAGAAGTGGTATTCCACCGATTCCTCTGTTAGCTGAGTTTTCAGTCTGTTGGCAAAGTCTTCACGTAGCCTATTCCTCTTATTATTTTTACAAGCAATTGCTCTATCTCTTTATTATTGTAGCGCCCTAAATTAGCTCCGCTCGGTCCACGAAACAGATAAAATCATGTCATACATCCGGTTATCAGTTTGTTTTTGCAGTCACAAGCAAGTCACACCCGAAGTTTTAATTTCCTTGTCCATTTCTTAACAAAACATAAGTATGATTAGTCTAAAAACCCACTGACCTTTTCGATAAAGGGTGTCACTATAACCTTGATCTGTCAATCGACAGCCAGTTTCTCATTACACACAGTGTTTTGGTAAACGATACTAAAGTTCAAAAAGTTCTGATTTACAGTAATTTTCCTTATAATTTAGTTAGTTCTTAATTATTCCAAGGAAAAAAATTGTCGGAGGAGGGATGGTGGAGGATGGTGGTGGTGGGGGGGGAGGCTGGGAACTCAGAAGGGGTGGGGAAGCACTTCTGACTATGTTGGGAGGCTCCAAAGGTTTAACGTTCTCCAGCCAACCCAACCAAGCTGGAGAGATATGAGACAGTACGTATTTTACGAGTCGAAGTATAACAAAGGGAACGGGAAACTGTCGTTTAGGCAATCAAAAGGCCCTTTCAAACAAACGCATCTAACTGAGACATCTAAGTAGTCTTAAGGGCATTGCTCAATTCAGAATTATAAAAACTGAGGGCGATGAAAGTCTGTCTACTGTTTGTATATAACTGGGGTATTTTTTTTGTGGAATATAATATCCATGAAAGGGTTAAATTTACCATAAAAAAATGTTATATACCGCTAGTACTAATGACTCCTGCTGTTTTCAAGATTCGTGATAAGTGTTGTTGGACTCAGACGTAACAACCATCAGACCATGATAACGATGCTTTTAGCCTTGTAGTCTGTTTCATTGTATTTAGTTTGTAATTGTTTGCTGTTTACAATACACCGTACAATAACAAACAAAACCTGATCTTTACTCAGAGAAATCGATGTACTGAATACAAGTCAGGGCAGCCCAAGCCACATGTCTTTCTTGTGGGCAATGTTTTGATATTTGATATTTCACCCACCACACACATCGAACAACCAAATCATCTGAGTTAGGATCAACCTCGATCTAATGTGATTCATTCTTGTTCTCTTGCAATAAAACGTTTTTTTCTATTTATCTCGGAATTCTAGAGAGCTCAGACTCTCTAAACGGCTCGTCATATAGTACAGAAAGATGTATGCCATAAGAGGAATTTTCACAGTTAGGGAGAATTGTTCAGCCAAGGAGATTGAAACGATTATAGTCCAAGCTTTCTTAACGGACGCTCTCAGCGGACAGCTTTAATACTTAGGGCTGGCTTTAGAAAATCCCCCTTGAGCTCAAATAAATACCTTTCCAAGACTTTTCTTTACCTTTCTTGGCTCCCCAAGCGTAAGGGAACATTCCGAGCAAAAAATCATATTAGCCTCCATCGGATTTTAATGGATGAACTTCGCACCTCTGCCTTCCAGAATGATTTTTCAGTGCAAATAAAGCGGCCACCCATAGCTTACACTGCGAATGGGAAGTTACAAAGATCATTCCCGTAAAGGATACTTTTTGGTGTCTGCCTACTAGTGGATGCGGCAGTGGAAAAGTTCCTAAGCATCGCGTGATTCGGCAAGGTCATTAGCGCAGTACAGAAAATCGAGAACAGAACTGACGTAATGCTTAACTGTAGGCCCGTGCTGGGCTTTGAACCAAAATAGGTCCGCTATGCATACATGAGCGATTCACATATGGAATCGAATTATGTGGAATGCTGTAAATTGAAATGAAAGGAAGCCAATTGGCGATTACAATGAGAGATTAACAACAACGGGGCGAAATAACGTTTTTTTGTCCGCAAGGCTTAGCTTTCTGATGAACGAAACTTGATCCAACCGTTGAAATCTTCGTAGACCAAGCTGGAAACCACGTTTGAAATGATTACTAGCATTTACACCGAAACTTAAACAAACGCGATCGCTTTTTGATCTGAATTGAGAAGTTGGGGTTTTAATTTAATTAACATACTGTGCACAATTTAGGCTTTCAGTTTAATATGTGTAAGTTTCAATATTGAACATGTCAGAGGCGTTGTTAGTTCGCTAAGCTTACACGACAGCTATGAAAATCCGTTTAGCTTTTTTTATGTCAAGTCACCACCACTTATTTTCCGTGGCAATAAGCAATGCATATTCAGTTAGAAATTCTAAATGAATTTCAAATCATTATTCGCATCGTTATAATTAGTTTACCTATGCCTATTTTTCGCTAACAAAGTATACGGTCTTCTATGTAATCAATCAAGTTTGATTATGGAGTGTCCGTGATCACTGGAAACAGCCGAAGCGAAATCATTTTGATCTTTTAAAACCTTTAAAGAAGGATATAACCGCGACCTTTTAACGGAAAATGAGAGCTTTCGGAACAAATATTTTGTCTAGTTAAAACTAATATAGCTTCTTACTTTCTTATTTATAAACAATTGCCTCACCTACGTGTTTTTATCGTGGAGTAACCTGTTTATCCTTCGACGAGCCGAGTTTCTTACTAATATTTAAAAAAAAATGACTTGCCGTTTTGGTATTTCCTCGTCTAGCAGTTTTCTGATCTAACCGTCTCTCGATATAAATACAAGATTCCTAATTTGGCTTTACAAATATTCCTTTCAACGGACACGCACAGGCATGACCTTAATGTAACAGGAGAACAGGAAGAGGAACTTTTGAAAAGCCACAGGCTCCCCCACCTCTGCTCAGACCGGAGACTTTTCAGGAAACCGTTAGACACATGTCCATTTCTTATAGATGACTAGGCAGTTTTTCATGATTAACAGAGTTTTAAAAGCTTACAAAGCTGTTTAACGCGTTTTGACGATAGCGGGGTTGGGATTGCAGTACACTTGATGAAAGCCGTGGATTAGCAATTGTGCCGTTTTGCTCCAGGCTAGATTTACCCTTTACTATTTTTGATGATCAGGTAACCTTGCACTGTCGAATGACTGCGTTTTTTTTTTTTTTTTTTTTTGCTACCTACGAAGAATATTATGCCGAGAAACTGTTCAATGCTAACCTCACTTTTTTTAAAATTGGGCATATTTTTTTTGGATTGATCACAATTCCTCTCCCTTAAACTGGATTTAATTAATAATTCCCTCAGCTTTGGTCAAGAAAACTTAAGGGACAATCGAAACTGTCGTCTGTTTTGACTTCCGTTTATAGTAAAAAGAAAAAAAGTTTCAAACACGTGCCTTGCTTGCTTGTCTTAAGTTACATGAATCGATTCCGCGTGTTTTGATCAAGTCTCAAAAAAGTGACAATTCTGTTTGATCTGATCAATAAAGTCGATAGTTAAAAAAAAAAAATTAAAAAAATATATAAAAATGGATTGATTTATTAACGAGGCTTTTTAAACTGCATTTCTTGTCCTCAAACTGTCTAGTCCTCTGCTTGTCAGGATAGAAATGAAACTTTTGGCACAATACAAGAGCTGATTATTTTTCAACTTCTAGCCAAGAGCTTGTAGGTTTATAGTTGTTGAAGTCATTAATTAACTGGATACATTTTATTGAATAGCTGGCTTGGACATGTCCGAAAAATTAAGGAAGTGCGCAATACCTGAAGTATGTTTTCACCGCCTGCATTTCGGTTTATCTAGTAACGAGGTTAAGGTCATGGTATATTTCGCCTTTATACAATACTCCTCTTTGATGATAAACGACGCCGAAGATAGGCATTCATTAAAGCTAGACGTTGTTTCATTATAGCGTGTTCTTGTTTTTTCCTGTCCATGCCCTTGTCTCTAGGCAACGAGAAGAAACACTAAGAGCCTCTATTATTTAAAACAATCACCACTTCAAAACTGTTTGAGGCAATTCTGATACACCCAGAAACTGTTTACATCTAATTAAGTAGCTTGTGGCACCGTTTGAATACAAACGAAACTTAAGAATTGTACGAACGTGCTTTACTGGTTAGGTTTATATCCGTATTCGTCTCACTCGGAAATGAAGTCGACCAACGGGAACTTGCAATCTCTCACGTAATAACGTCTACGACTTCGAAACACTTTCTACAAGTTGATCATATCTGATATTCACTGTAATTTTTATTATCATTATGATTTGTTTGAATAAGCGCACTTTTATTCCCTCAATGTGTTATTGTAATTAATCCCACATCATTAAATGCTTAATACAGATGACGGTATTTGTCATAACCGGAACTTGCGGCAATTTCAGCGACAAAAACTCCTCTAAAAACGCTGGCTTTACATTTAAAAAATCACGAGAGATAGCTTGGAAGGAGAATTAAATTAATTAAAAGACCAGTGATGTCTCCAACTTTCCACTTCTTCGGTGTTTCTTAAAACACTGGTCAAACTCCAGCAGTTAATTTATATCCCTGTACTTTACGCCGCCCTGAGGCAAAAACATAGCATTGTTCATCCCCTGTTCTTTACTCTAATGCTGCTCGAGAGAAACGAAACAACATGTCTTTCAAATAAAGCCATGATTTTTTTTCTTCTTCTTCCCATGATTTTGACACTAGCTGTGATGCCTGAGGCCAAACAACAGAGAAGTCCACATCAAGCTAAAGCTTAAAAAGATATTCCGACCCTTTCACCCCGAGGTACAATGTACGTCTTTGGTAGCCTTTTTGACGTCTTCGTATTCACGTCACAGTATCAGGTACCGGATGAACAAATGATGTCTAGCTCATTCGATTATCATTCATCCAGGTTTAACGTCCAAAATGTTTTCGTGTTTGAGAAGAAGAATAAAGGAGCAATTAGAACAAGGACAAAAATGCCAGGAAGTTACGAGTGAAAATTAAAGAAGAAAGGCATGGCAAAGGCAACTACACGTGTTCTCCTTCAGAAGATATGGAAAAAAATTCCTATTTTGGTGCGGGAATTTAAAAGGAGATTGCCTGGGCATTTCATTTTGACCTATACCTCCGAAAAGGATAGATTTACTCAGCGTACAAAAAACAATATTTTCTGGGATCTGTTTAATGACTCACTGGCCACTTGTTAAACATTTCCGTCAGTTTCTGAACCAATACAAGAGAGCAGTTTGTTTTGAAACTAACAGCTGATTCTGAGCGAAGACGTTACCACTAGCTGTAATGATCTGCTATAAACAACTCTTCATACTACCCCTCAGTTTGGTTAACTTTAATTTTATTTCTTTTCATTCCTCGTAGGTAACAGTTTGTTTTCTGTTAACTTGGTTACGCGCGTAAAAAGTACATTGTGTTCTCATACGGTCTATTAGAGTTTTTAAAATTAATTTTGGGTGTGTTTACTGTATAGCAATAACTTGTGACTACAGTATAACAGTGTAAAGCGAAATTTTGCGCTCTTGATTTCTCATCTGACTGCAGTTTCCATAGGCAAGTACATGAACAAGCTGGTAAAATCAGCATCAAAATTTATCGTGAAGTAAAACGTTAGCCGATCCTAACCATAAGACAACATAAGTACTATTAATTTTTTACACACCTTAGTGAAGGGAAGGGAACAAAACAATGGCAGTGGCTGGGTGCAAACGAGAGGCTGGTTTGGAGTCTAATTCAAACACTAACAACAGCAACACAATAGCATAAGGCTAGACCAAGAAAACATGCACGATGTTTTTGAAACATGGGGTCTACAAAATGCATTCTACTGTAGATAACAATTAATGTTTTTCACGTGGTTTTGGCTACTAAATGTACAGTTCAAAACAACTAACCGAAATTTAAAAGTGCTGGTTACATATGGCACATGAAAGTTCTGCATTTAGATTTAAATATTTTTGTTACACTGGTATTTAGGTTATTTACTGCATATCATATAAAGGAGGGTGTAAAATAACTTGGTTGTACGTTGTGATTGATTGACATCCAGTTATTCATTGGTATGTTTTTGGCATAAGGGAAATCTTGCTTGTGGATGGACGGGCCCATCATGGTGTTATTGACCGCATTTGAGGGCTGATATCCTGTGTTTCTCTGGATATTTACCAGTGCTTGCATATTCTGTTCCAGGGTATTTGTGCTTTGCTGTGGCCATGAAGCTGCTGTGTTATAATTGAACTTGCTGACTGGCTTTGCTGTAGATATCTGTATGCTCCTCTTTGCTGGCTTCCCTGGATCTTGTGCGAGCGGTGATGAGTTTTTTCTCTTCGCCGGGTACGTCTTGTTTTGGGTTCCCGTCTGTTTGTCTTGCTGCCGACATTTTGCGCGTTTGTTTTTAAACCAAACCTGTGAGAAGAGGCATTAATCTGGATGAGTGTGAACGTAAGAAAAAACCACTTATAGATTTGGTCTCGTATCTCGATTTTTCACGAGATAAACGTTAAACTCTCCGTCTGTTTTCAGGCTATTTAGTAGATCTTGTTCAACGAGAACATTTTTTTTTCAAATATAAAACGCACACAAACTCGGACAAAGCAGAAACAAAAAATGCAGCTAGCAATTTTAACGTTGGTGCCGGACCCATACATCGCGTGCGTGCATTTCTCATCATTCAACTTATCAAAGTGCAAATTGACTAACAAAGAAGATCACGCTAACCAAATTGCCATACGTTATTCTATTTCTTAATCCTTTGCATTGCAGATGTCAAATTGCCCAACGTGATTACCAAAGTCTGTGTACTGTCTATCGAGATGCGCATCACAACGAATGGTTTCCTTTTTTTTTTCTTCCAGTAACACATGTTTCGTGCGAATCGCGCACATTACTCAGAGAGGTGGTGCATATCTGTCGACGCCGCTAACATTTCATTGACGAGATCACATTGTTACTCAAGAAGGAAATAACAATGGCTTGCCAGGGGTTAAGCTTTGATAAATTTGCGGGTAATTAATTGAACGCTTAAACATTGCCAATCGCACTAATTTGACTCTAATCTGGTTTGTTTTGTCCACCAAGGGACGCCTTTGAAAACAAGTCATGGGGATTTGCGGTCGGATTTGTCAACTTCACACGCGAGAATGGTTCTTAGCTGTGAGTAACATGCTGCATGGGATGGGGGACGAGGGAAGGTTATTTGTACATAAAGGTTGATAAGTACGTGCGGTAGATTTTGCTGTGGTTTTGGAACGTCCAGTTTGGTGCAGTCAGAAACGTTTCACATTCCATATTTACCCTATCTTGTACTTTAAATTTATAAAATTAACTCTGGATGTTTTTTTAGATGTGAAACAGGGCAGGGAATTCTGTATGGCAGCCCTCCCTAAAGGGATATACAGTTCCATCCATGCCAGTCGATTTTCAAATTTTTTCCAAAATAACCAGTGCTATTTTAAAACGTACTGTAAATGGTTGATAACAGACATTAAGCCACGCCAGAAATAAACCGCCGTAAGAAAACTACCGTTTTAGGACAAGAATTACAACGGCTTTGATGATGAATTAATCCAATCGTTTGCAGTCGCTGTCACTCGGTGAGGTGAGTTGGTCGGTCGGATAATAAACAAAATACAAAAGAAATATGGACAAATCTGACTGTATTTACGTGTAGACTGCCGGCATATTGCGTGGAAGCCACTAGAAGCTTTTTAGGTTTTTGAACTCTTAAAAGTTGTAAAACTCTAGAAGGTGTCCGAAGAAGTCTCTGTGAGGGCTCACTGATTTAGATGCCAGACTTACTTGATGCAGATGTAAATGATGCGTATTAAACTTGGAAATGCCAGAAATATAGAAGCATTCAATGAATATAAAAACATTTTTTTCCCCTTCATCCAAAAACTGCGTAGGTGGAACATGGGGATGGCCATAGGTTTGTTCTTCTACAACAAAGTTGTTAAAGACCCTCCACAAATAAAAATCTAAGTGGTCACAAGTTTCATTTACCATTGTAAGGGTATGAGTTGTTTAGATAGTTTTTCAAAGAATCCTGATGACGTTCAAGAAGAAATAAAGCAGGTCTCTGCCATTTCGTAGACTCATCTTTTTTATATCAATTTTTTTTTGTCAATGAAAACAGACAGATGACCTGACGGTGAATGGCAAAAACTCACATAGAGCTGAGCTCGTTGTCTTGATGTGTCTCCAAACTCTCAAAGCGATCATTGGAAAAAAATAAAATAAAATAAAAAAGCGGTGCATTTGGTTGGGAGAATTGAAATTTTTAGCTTGGGATTGAAGTGATATAAAAAAATTCATCTCCTGAATCTCTGCTACCTTGCGCTGATTAGAAAAGGTCATTGTTCACAGACTCCATGAAGTCCGATTCCCACTTTTTATCTCAGCTGTACTGTTGTCCGCCAGTATTACAAGGCCTGGTGAAATCCCTGACTCGCGAAAAATCAAGAGTTATTACCTGCTATTAATCATAATTACGCTACGTACGTTATTCTAGGTAGATATTTAGTGATATTCACCTGTACTCTGCTTTCAGGCAGGTTTATTTTCATGGCCACTTCCTCTCTCATGAAGATGTCAGGATATTTTGTTTTGGCGAAGAGCTCATCCAGTATTTCCAGCTGAGATTTGGTAAAGGTGGTTCGTTCTCGCCGCTGTTTTCTTGGAGGACCTTTGAAGGAGACGTTACAACATTAACTAGATATCATTGAAAATTCTTTTAGAAATTAATTCAATCAGTTGCTATCAGGCGAGCAGATCTTGTTTCCCATTTTAAGGGACAAATTAGATAGGACATTCTTTAGTCTTCCACCACGCATTGCATTTTTATGCCACGAATCACCAACAAATTAAAACATAATTTGCCCGAGCTCTTGCTGACCTGGCAAATTTCTTCTTTTGTGTTAAATTCAGTTCTGCTCTCCAAAAAATGAAAAAGAAGGAAAAAGAACTGTGGTTTCCGCTTTAGCAATTTTTCCGTGCCATGATCTTCATTTCTCTAGGGCGGAAATTCATATCTGTTTAGATCTCTCGTCTGGATAAATCCAAGACAGCTCAGCGGAAGATGTGAACACTGCTAAAAGTTCAGTATATGCTGGAATGGTATAACTACAGTAACCTTCCTTACTTTAATAAAGTTTTGGATAAAGATGAGCGAAGACATGCCTTCTCGGCCAACGAGGTTCAAACAATTTAGCCCTCAGGGAGTAATGTGAATGTTTGGTTAAGAAATAAAAATTCAGAATGGGATCTCAAGTTTGAAAGCTAATTTACCTTCAAAAAACCTTGACATTAAACACTGGGAACACCCTACACAGGGTAGTGAATATCCTGGCCAAAAGAACTCCATGAATATCAGAAAGACGTATCAAAAGGTTCCTTCCTCTTTCCCAGGCAAAACGTTTATGATCGGTTGATACGATGATGTGAACAGTTTGGTTAACAATCATAAACCTTGCCCCAGCCTTTGATGACGGATTATACCACTATTTGTGGCTTAGCTGGGAGGATAATGCTAAGCCGACAAGAATTAAGCCAGTCTTTAAATATCGATATTCCGTGACATATTTTGCAAGTTGAAGATAATAACAAGTTTTAAAAAAGTCGTATCTACGCACCAGGCGTGGATTACAAGCTTTTATAACTGCTGAATGGTAACAGCTGTGCTTAACGTGCGTTAAAACGACTAGGCAGAACTCCATTCACTGGAAAATTAATACTACGCCAGGCCAGAGATAACAACAGAAAAATAACAGGTTTTGGCACAGGCTATATCACCTCATATAAACTGTCCGGACCGAGGGGAAGGAAAGGAAGTCAATTAGACTAAATAATGTCAAACCCTTCGATCAAATAAAGATATTTTAGGTCCCCCAAGCAGTGCTAGTACAACTTGCAACTTAATGGACGGTCACTCAGATTAACTAAAGGAAATTATGGCCTTTTAAATGCATTGTACATTAAAACAGACAAATGAATATCGTGAAACCGAAGGACGAATGCTATTATGTTTCCACGCATGTTTACAGCTATAGCTACATTTGTGAGCACACAGTCTAAATATTAATAGAACTGCCTCCTGACAGGAACTAAGAAAAATTGGCTAATCCCAAAACCCACTTAGCGCTTTAGGCATTACCGAGGAAAGATTATCCCGGTTGAGAAATATCAAAGATATTAAATGGTTACAAACGACATCCAGACATGCAAGCTAAGTAGACCACCCCAATTAAGCTGAATCGAAAGCCTTACCGTACATTGGGACCAAGTCCGGGTAGAAGAACTCTGTGTTGGGAGCCTCGAAGTTAAAGCTACTCATTGCACAAGATGGTAGGCGAGTGTCCATTATTGCTCTTTTCTTTTGTCTTTCAGGACCTAGCGTGCAAGCCATGAAAAGTGTTATCATAAACTTTGACCTGCAAGGGAAGCCCTTCACACGTGCAAGATCTTGTGGCTAGGGTTGTCTTGCGAGAAATCACGAAAACGCTATCAATAACAAACCCAAGATTCCATTTTTGTCTTGGCCATCTTAAAAGGTCACGTCATTATCTTTTAAGTTGTGGCTAATCAGCTCTATACATCGGTTTCTTCCGATGAATGATTATTTCATTTGAGATCACGCAAAAAAAGCTGCATCACTATGCTTTCTGTAAACTGTTTGATTGACAGCCATCATCGTCCTCATCACTTATAGGCTTTTGTTCTCATTTGCTGTTTATTGGACATGTAGTGGAGAGAGAATGGAAACGAGTAGCAAGCTGCTTAGGGAGGGATGGAAAGTAAAAATTTTTTCACGCTGGAACTATTTTAAAATACAAAAATTTTATGTGTGAAAGCAATTCATAGCTAACTTGACTAAAGAAAGGCGACTTCTTACAAGGATCCGCTTCTGGGTTTCGTAAAACCTTTCCGGAACATTCTGTAACATAGCTCTGCCAATCAGCCAATCGACATGTCACCCGGCCCATAACTGATATATCAAACACATGAATTGTACTCTAAACTATCTCTAAAAGGAAAATCTTCTGCGACGTCGCCTTGGGTTACGCTGCTGTCACTAAAAACGCAATATTCATGCAATAATACAATCAATAGCAGAATAACAACTCTAGGCTTTTAGACCATAATCAAAATCGATGGAAGACGGCAACTTCGTTGGCTTTGTGCAGCTGAGTATCAGAGTCAGTTTAACTGAACACTGAACATATAAAAAATCGAGCATTGAAATCGATGATAACTAATGCTTCGCGCGCTTTCACATTGCAGGTTAGGTCGTTTGTTCTCTTTGCTTGTTTTTTTTTTACTGATTTAGCTTTCATTGCAGCACAAAGGTTGAGGCCAATAAAACTTGAAATCTGGCTTATTTTCTACTTAAAAAAGCAACGGAATGAANAGCCAATCGACATGTCACCCGGCCCATAACTGATATATCAAACACATGAATTGTACTCTAAACTATCTCTAAAAGGAAAATCTTCTGCGACGTCGCCTTGGGTTACGCTGCTGTCACTAAGAATGCAATATTCATGCAATAGTACAATCAATAGCAGAATAAAAACTCTAGGCTTTTAGACCATAATCAAACTCGATGGAAGACGGCAAGTTCCTTGGCTTTGTGCAGCTGAGTATCAGAGTCAGTTTAACGCACTGAACACATGAAAAATCGGGCATTGAAATCGATGGATAACTAATTCTTCGCGCGCTTTCACTCTGGAGGTTAGGTCGTTTGTTCTCTTTGCTTGTTTTTAACTGATTTAGCTTTCATTGCAGCTCAAAGGTTGAGGTCAATACAACTTGAAATTTGGCTTATTTTCTACTTAAAAAAGCAACGGAATGAACATAAAAATTTCAAAAAATAAATATTTTACGTACCAGATAAACACTTCTCTCTCCTCTAGCGTTCGGTTCTTGTCCTCCGGTCTTTGAAAATCACCTCGGAATGTTCCTTCTACTCTACAAGCATCACGATTTTCATGTCATGCGGTTTGCCACCCTCTCAAATCGAACATGGATTCTTTTGTTGGAAATTCTAGAACAGTCACAAAACTTTGTGGAACTTTGAAAAGCCACAAGCAACATCACTAATTAAGACGACCCTCAGGAACTTTGTGATGAGTTGTGAACAAATGAAAGCCCCTATGTCATATTTATAGTCACGTCCGTCTTTTTCAGTCGTTCTGACAGTTTCACAGTGATGTAATTACGTAATTTTATTTTATTTAGTTTTTATGTCTTTATAGTCATTCATCGTTGAAATATTTAATTAAAATAACGATGAAAGACGTACCCGAACTGAAGCCTAGAAAGATCAAATTTAAGATGATCGCGGGCAAGAGAAAATATATTATTTTTGGTGATCACCAACTACATGAACACAAAAGGCAAGTAGATGAGGTGTTTGCACTGAGACACTCCAACAGATTACTATTATGTTTTAATTTCTAAAAGCAGTTTCCCTGTCGAGAACTATCACGCAAGGGAAAAATCTGAGAATACAATCAGGTTTCGAAATGTTGGGTTTTGTAGAGGAAGGAAAATAGGATCCTAGGGGGAAACCGGGGTTGAACGAGACAAGGTCCTCGCCATTTTATGACTGGCATATCAGTCAGTGGCCAACCCCTGCTCTCCGTGCTATTGAGCAAATTGTCTGTCTCTAGGCCTTCATCACGCAAGAGCAGAGGTCATGGAAAAGGGGTGTTTTCAGGAAGGCAAGGCAAGAAAATTCAGATGCACGATGTGTTTGCATAACAACGAATTACTGAACCAGAGTCAGTTGCTGTTTTCGTCGCAAAATAATCTCGTTGAAACAAAGAAAAATAAAAGCTGGATCTTTTAGATGCTATGCTACAAAGATAGCTGTTGCAAGAGGAGCGCTAGTGTCACAAAGCCTTTATTTGGCCAAAAAACAACATTGATGGCATAAATAACGATATCAGGCCAGGAAGGAAAAATATCAAGCCGTTAATTAAATTAATTAACCGCAATTACACCAGTCCTCAATCGAAAAGAGAAATGAACTAATACCGCAAATATCTTTCTGTTTTTCCAGTTGAAACAATAGGATAACACAAATCTCCTTGCTGCTTACATGATGAGATTAAATAAGACTA